TTTTTGATTTAGGCAGGATCTTGCTGAGTTGTCTAGGCTGGGCTCAGACTTGTGACCCTCCTGCCTCAGCCTCCCAGAGTGCTGAGGTTACAGGTGTGCACCGCCGTGCCCAGCTCGTAGCCAACCTTTCTGAGGTCAAAGAGCAGAACCCGAAGAGTCTCAGATCTCCTTGGCCTCTCTTCCCCCCCAACCCCCACCCCACATCTACCAGGACATACTGGCAATCTGGGGGGGTCACTGCTGCTGTAGGCTGAGTGGGAGGAGGATTTGGGGGTCCTCTTGCACCGGGGGATCCCAGCCGCCTTCCCTCCTCTGGCTGGCTGCTGAGTCCCATGTTCCCCACAGGATATGGACACCCACCATCCCGTTTGGTGTCCAGGAATACTTGCAGCAGCTGGACTCCCGGATTAGCCTGCGATGACATTGCTGGGCCCTGGAGGAAGTGACCGGGTGAGCTCGGGGTGGGGAGCGTGGGGACAGGTGCAGCAGTGTCTTTGAGAAGGCAGGGCCGTCAGGTGGGCCTGGGTGGCCATCTGTGGGCCTGCACATTGCCTGGGACTTCCCATCTCTGTGCTGGGCCCCCGGGGGCTAAGGAACCCTCTGTGGTCGAGTGAGAGCCCGGGAAGGGCAGAGGGACCCACAGCCTGAGTGTGGGAAGGGCCTGCCTCTGGGACACCCAAGCCTTTCTTGCTGCTGACCGCCACAGTGCCCTGGCTGCATCTTCCTAGGAACTTGCTTCGCACTGTGAAAGGGACTGTCCCCAGCCCTGGGCTCCCTCCATGTCTGCCCCTCTCTGAGCTGTGCTGCAGTCCCCTTTGGCCCTCCTCCGTTCCCACAATGCCCCCGTGTCAAGACTGCCCCACCTAAAACCCCCAGCTCACCTCCCTCTCCTGACCCTGCAGCAACACTGAGGACACTGACCACCTTGGACTTCGGCTGGGTACCTGGGGGCAGAGCTCGTCCCTGGGCTGTATCCCCTGAGCCTCAGAGCCTGGCGTCTGGCCCCTATGGGCTCAGGTCTGGCACTGCCGAGCTGTGTAGATCCACATCTTGCTCTGTGAGAAGACTCGGCCCAGCTCCAGGCTCCTCCAGGCCCAGGAAGACACCAGACTTGCTCAGCGGTGGAGCACCCAAGGCAGGGCTTGAGGTGTTCCCTGCAAACACTTGGACAGCCACAGCCAGGCCAGCATGAGGGTCTGAGGCCGCCCTGTGTCCACCTGCTTGGGCCCTGGTCTGCTGGCCCCCAAACTGACAGGGATTCTACAGCAGCTGCTATCTGTCTGGGTCACTTACTGTTTGCACTAACTTTTGGCCAAGGTCAAAGCTGGGCCAAGCTCTGGATCTTAGCCAGGACCAGCAAATGGTTACACTAAGGGCTGAAGGGTGGGGAGACAGCTTGGGACCCCCCACCTCATGCCCACCCTGGGCCTTTGCCTCCCCTGTCTTTCACTACATTTTTAATGTCAGCCTCATGGAAAGGGATGGGGTTTATGTTTACACCATGATTTCTACTTTGGGGAACTACTGTTCTGGTTTATCCGATGCACACCAAGCCACCCCAAAGCATGGCGGCTGGAAACAACACCGGACCCACTGGCTCACACTCCTGTCACTTGCGCAGGGCTCAGCAGGGACAGCTCCCTTTCCCCTCAGGATTACCTGGGGCAGCTTGAAGGCTCCTCCACCTGCCTGTCTGCACTCGACTCTGGCTTCTGGCTGGGGCCTCGGCCCTGAGGAACAACATCTGGCTGGAGACCTCTCTGTGGGGACGGATTTGGGCTTCCTCATAGCATGGTGCAGGATTGAAGGGGGACCGCTCAGCAAGATGGAAGTCAGGTAGAGACAGAGGAGAAGAGAGGAAGAGGAGAGAGACCACAAAGGACAGTTGGTGACTTCTTTATAGCCTAGCCTTCCACATCACACCAAATTGTTTCTGCCATGCTCTCTGGGCCAGTGTGACAGGGGCTGCTTCCGTCCTGCTGCCCCCACTGTGCACACACACACACACACACGGCAGTGTCCGCCTGGGCCACATCCTGTCCTCCCTGAAAGGGCCTTGCTCACGGCTTCCTGAGATTCTGCGGAGACTCATTCTTTGGAAGTCAGCAAGGCTGAAGCCACACAGAGGGGAGAGTTTGCCTTGGCCCGGAGCTCACCATTCTGTCCCGGGAGCCACTTCTTGGCCAAGCTGGAAACCTCCCGGGTCTGCAGGAGCCAGAGAGGCCCTTGGCAGCTCTGCCTTCTGCCCAGAGAGCCGGCAGTGTGGCTGTTTTCTCTTAAGCCTGTCCCACTGGCCAGAAGCCCAATCGTGGATTGATGGGGGCAACTTGCTCGCTGCTGGTGGCGGTGGGAGGCAGCTAGTCGGCCGCGGCTCCCAGCCCGAGTGCCCAGCCTTCCACACTGCTCCTCTCCCTGCAAGTGGGAGTTGAAGTCAGGAGGGTTGAGGTTCCAGCCTGGGGCCTGCGGGGGCGGAGACGCCTCCTTGGCACTGCAAAGGCTGTCACGTGTGTCACTCAGGTTTGGAGGGTGAAGAGCTCGGGCATCACTGCTCGGGGGGGCCCCGGCATTTGCAGGTGATACGGACTCCATGAAACCCCCTTTTGTGTGGCCAAGGTGTGAGCACTGTTGACTCTGGTGCCGTCACCTACTGCACCTGTCAGCCAGGTGGGCACACCTGAACCCTCTGCTTCTGAGGCATTAGAATGAGGCCAGAGGCTCTTGTTGTCCACGATGACTTCTGAGTGGTGGCTACCACTTTATGAGTTAATTCACGTCGCACTTATCACAGTGCAAGGGACAGGGTCCATGTTCAGTAAATGTGAATTATGGTCACCACGAGTTCCTCCTACCCCTCAGTGCAGTTCATCACGTGTGCAAGTGAGGCTGCCTTGTGCCTCATCACCTTTATCTGCAAAATGGGCCCAGGCGCTTCCTCCTAGGGTTACGGGACGATCCCAGGAGAGAGCCTGGTGCACAGCTCAGTGTGTGCGGTCCCAGTTACACCTGCGCTCGCTCTTCCCGCCTCCTCTGACGGCTGACCTCTTGTGCTTCAGGTCTCTGTCAAGCACAGCTCCCCGGGAAGTCTGCTGACCACAGACAGCCCTCCCTGCCCCCTGCCACTCTCCAACCCCATTGCAATTCGTTGTCTGCTCTTTTCCTGGGCTGGGAGCTCCAGGAGGGCGGGGAACTGGCCTCTGCACCCTGCAAGGTGCCTGTGTACAGTAGGTGCTTAATAAATGTAGACTGGACGGACGATCCTCAGCCGACTGGTTTATTCACTCTGCAACTACATACCAAATACACAGCGGTGGGTAAGATGATCATATTTCTGTCTCTCTGGAGACTCTTGCATTTTAGTAAATTTTAAAAACTCTCTGACAAGGCTGCCAGGTGTGCTTGGACAGCCCGGACACTGCGCAAAGTCACCTGGATCAGGGGGTGAATTTCGGGCTGCTCGTCTGGGCTCAGCTTTCCAAGCTGTGAGTCCTGGTATGGCAGTGTGCATCAGTTGGGGGGGGGCCGGCCTTTTGTAATTCATACAAAGTCATCTTAAGAGGTGAGGTAGCTGGGTGTGTTGGCGCACACCTGTAAACCCAGTGCTCGGAAGGCAGAGGCAAGAAAATCTCCGCAAGTTCAAGGCCAGCCTGGGCTCTATAATGAGTTTGAGGTCAGCTTGAACCACACAGTGAGACCCTGACTCAATGACATTTATGGTCATGTCCCCTTAAAGGAAGGAGTTGAGGTGTCAGCTGGTGCGGTGTGCTGGAGTCGGTCCCCGAGCCCCGTCTGTGAGCGCAGAAGTGATGTTGGGGGACTCAGGCAAAATGGCACAGTTCCAGGTGCAGCAAACTTGACAGCAAGCACCTGCTCTCCCCGTCTCTCCACCTGCCCGCTCCCTCAGGCCTCTCCTTATGCAAATGCCACCCTCCCCATGCAGTTTCCCCAGCCCTCTCAACCACCTTCCATCCCCACCCTTGGAATCCTGTGCAGGCAGAGTCACAGCCACCTCTAGGGTGACCAGTCAGGCCTCAGTCTCCTCACCTGCACAATGGGGACTTCCTTAACCTGGAGAGCGCAAAGGTGCTTTGAAAATCCACAGTGCCCTGCAGCCCGGGGAGATTTCCTGCCATCTTTCCATGAGCCTGCTAGTCAGCCCAGCTCTCCTTTCGTTTGCCCCGTCCCGCTCTGTAACAGAGTTCTACCACACTCCCTCTGGGGGGCTGCACAGCGCCAGTTCTGTGAGACTCAGACCTGAGTCCAATGCGGCCAACGGCCTTCCTACCACGCCCCGCAGCTGCCCCTGGCTTGCTTGCCTGAGACTCTCTGGCCTGTCTGCTCTCCAAACCCCACTGGAGCTCCAAACTGCGGGGCTCTGACTTTTTTGCCTGTTGGCATCCTTGAGATACATAAAAGGACCCCTTTTCCAAAGCTCAAAGAAGAAAGAAAACCAGGCCTGAGAAACTGGAGTTGCATACATTTTTTAATCGAAATAAGTCAGCCTCCTAAGTATTGCTTTTACAGGTTTATCGAAATCAAGTATTCACACTGCTCACATTTTCAAAAATATATTTCTGGCCAGAGGAGCAACACGGCACCCTGCAGCCTAATGTCTGAGTCCTGCCGACACGATGAACAAGCAACTTGAAATGAGTAAGTCAAGGCCCTAACCTCGGCCTCTGACATTTCCTCAGCTTTTTTTCCGAGTCACCCCCAAAGCAGTCGCTGAGACCAGACCTGGGCTGGAAACCCACCGGGCTTGAGGCTCAACTGGTAGAGAAAGGACCTGTGAGCGGCCTCTGGGTGTGGCCTCAGCTTCACTTCGCAGTGTCTCCTGCAGAGGTGGAGCAGGGGGAAGCAGGTGGCCTGCGGAGCGCAGTGCAGGCAGCAGACCTGGGCTGGGCTCGCGGGAACATCCGTCCTGACCGCATGGAGTCGCGTGCCAAGGCCAGCCCTCTGAGTGACGTGGCGCGTCTTCCCCGTGGGGACGAGGGCCTTCTCAGCCTGGGCACTCAGTCCCAATCTCTCCTTCCACTCTCCCGAGGACCTCTCTGTTGGCACGAAGCTTTGGAGGGGAGCAGGCCTAACAGGAAGAAGGATGTCATCAGCAAGGACACCCAACCTGCAACCAGTCTGGCAGACTCGGTCTCCTTCCCTCCTTCAGTTCCAGGCACCACCAGACACCTGGACTCGGGCTGGGATGTTTTTCTATTGTTATTGCAAAGGCAGTTTAATAAATTTACTTAATGCAAGAGGCTGTGGGCTGGCTGCTGGGGCAGGGGACAGGGTCCAGGCAGGCTCAGCCCAGCAAACTCGGAGTGGGTGGGGCCTGGCAGCTCCTCCCACCTTGCCCAGAAAGCGCCTGGCAGCTGCCAGGCCTGTGCCCGTCAGCCAAGGCTACTCAGCAGCCGCATGCCCTACTGAGAGCCCAGGCAGGCCCTCTCTTCCCACTCCCTCCGCTGTCCAGTGGGTGCCAGCATCACAGCAGCACCTTGTATCCCAGGCCCACCTCCTGGCACCCCCATATCCCTCTCAGACTCTTCCTTCTACAAACTTCGATGAGCATCAGGCAGAACTGTCATGTCCGACATGCAGGGTGCACCCTTGTTCAGCAGGGCGCTGCTGACTCGGGGGTGGGCCGACTGGTGGATGAAGGGGCTGCTTTAGCAACCATGGCCCCTGACTACTAACTGCCGTTAGCGCCTCCAGTCACTGTGATGGCTAAAAATGTCTCCAGCCTCACTTCTGAGGGCCACCTAAGGGGGCAAAACTGTTTCCACTGAGAAATGCGTGTCTCCCTATTTTACAGGCTAAAGAATGAATGAATAAATAAATTAATTAATTAATTAATTAATTAATAAATAAAAACAGAAGCCTAGTGACAGCTGCATTACTGAGCGACACAGCTGGCTCTGGACCAGTAAGAAAAATAGAGTGGGTCACAATCGAGATGTGGCCCACTCCCTGAGCGCTTACAGTGGGCCACAGGGTACAGCAGTGGGTGCGGGCCTCTCTCCCCTCCCCAGGGCACTGGCCAGGCAGCCTCCAACCATGGGGGCTGGTGCCTGTTGGGCCAAGATCTCTCTTGGCTTCTAGAGCCTGCATGGCCCACAGGCTTCTAGGGCAGGTAGGGTTAACCTGCAACTCCTGCAACTCCCCTCCAGTAGGGCCGGCAGGCAGGACGGGGCACCTAGACCTAGCCCCTGCCCCAAGGGGCCGTGGTGACTCTGAGGCGTATTTTCCATCCACTCTCTGAGCTCAGGGCCACAGCTAACCTGCTTGATGACATCATGATGTAATGACACATCCCTTACAGGTCTCCTTCCCTCCCTGCCTTTTCTCCCAAACAACTCCCACCCGAATCCTTTCCTCATGGTCTGCCGGGGGGGAGAGAGCAGGCCTGAAAGGGAGTGCTCCACGGGTCACCCCATTCGATCCTGACAAACCCCAGAGCTAGGTATTATTAAGACTCTGTTTCATAGGTGAAGAAACTAAGGTTCAGTCCAAAGGTGCTCACCTCGGACGTCCTAGAGCTGCTGGTGGCAGACCTATGGTGTATGTGTTACTTGTTTTTCTCTTAGGACAAAAGATGTTAATGTAGGAGTTGCTTTTTCTGAGCCAAAACCTCAGTACTCAGGTCTAATTGCGGTGTTGGCACTTTGTAATGAATAAGTAGGTTTGGGTACTCTTCTCTAAAAGATTCACCATTGCTGTCCAGAGCCTGGCTTTCCCCCACTGCAGATTCTATTTTTAACTGTGTGTGTGTGTAGCCAGGGATCCAAACCCAGAGTCTTACACCAGCCAGGCAAGTGCCTACCACTGAGATACATCCCCTGCCCCATCTGCGGTTTTAAACACTAACAGTACATGTCAGACCTGGCTGTGGGCACACTGTGAAGATGGCCCCGGCCTTTGAGATGTGCAATCTGCCTAGCAAGCAATTCCAGCCTGAAATAATACACCCAGCGTGGGGAGGAGGGGCCTAAGGCATCAGCGGTACCTGAAGGGCAGCTAGAGAGTGGGAGGGATTGGGGAGGAGAGGCAGGCAGGGCCACCAGCCCTGTGTCTGGTACAGGGCAGGCACGGGCAGGCAGGAGGTGGGGGACAAATCAGCCAAGTTTCTACATCTTGTGCCAGACTCATCTGCCACATGGCAGCTGGGAACATGTCCTGTCACTGCTCAGAAACCTTCCTTGGCTCCCACTGACCCCAGAGAACCTGCAGGCAGAGGGATCTAGGGATGATGGCAAGGGCATTCTGGGGCTCCTCTCCCACCGCCCGAGTGTCTGAGGTGGGGTAGGGGTCAGTGGTGGTGCAGAGACCGCCGTGACCAGTACCCTGCAGAGCTATGTATTCAGATTTGCCCTCAGCGGTGCTCACGGTGGTGAAGCCCAGGACCTGGGCCCATCTCAGACCTGTGTGGATGATGCTGGAGGCAAGGACCACCCGGGAGGCCTCACTCCTCACCTCGTGACTGGGGACGGCATCCCGTGCATGCCCAAGCTGCAGGGCTGGCAGGAGCGTCCCTCACGTGCTCTCCCCTCGTCCATGGACTGCTCTTCGGGGTCCCCTTCTATTTATAGATGTCATCAAAACATTTATTTCATTTTATAAAGGGCTGATTTAAAGAAAACCATGTGAGGACTAGTTCAGGAGGTTGGCAGATGCAGCAGCACACACAACAGTCATGTAGGTGTGGGGAGACCTGATCTGAACTGGCTCCCCTCGCTCCACAGCTGATTGGGCCTGGCCAGGACAGTGACCGGTCTGAAGTCACACAGCAAGCGGAGACAGAGATGTGGCCCCTGGCTTCGACATACAGCTAGAGGTGATCCTGGGCACGGTTCCACTCTCCTCTGTGTCACCTACTTTGGCTGTTACACACCAACCCCTCGGTCCTCTGATTTGCAAGTGTGGCCTTGGCAGACCTTCAGTGACAACCACCACGACGGCTGATATTTATCAAGACACCCTTCCTCTGTTCACCTTGTACCAGCTGCTTTAGCTCATGTCAGCCTATTCCTCCAAACAGTGCCAGGAGGTAGGGATGAACAGACCCAGTATCCCTGCACTCCAGGTGGGGTTCAGAGAGGGTAAGGAGTGGTACAAGGCCACACAGCTTGTAAGTGAAAAAGCCAGGATTTGAAGCTCATGGTCTGATCCTAAACCCTTTCCTTCAGGCGTCCAGAGCTTCTGGATGAAAACATCTCAGAGTCACAGCCTATGGAATCCAGGGCAGCAGGTTCTCCACCCTCCATCATCAATACAACACAACAGACAATTCATTAGCCATCGGTGGTTTTGTTTTCTTCTTTCTGAAGCTATAGCCTTTCATTACAAGCCATTTCAAGGTCACTCCCCAGAGCTGGACAGAGGCAGAGGCTGGGGGACTCATTTTTGTTTTCAGGACAGTTGGGTACCTGGTTCATTTTAAGAAGCAATGTCTCTACTCAATACCTCTGGAAAGGTCGGGTGTGGTGGCTCAAGTCTGTAATCCAGCACTCGGGAGGCTGAGGCAGGAGGACTGCTGAGAGTTCAAGGCCAGCCTAGGCTATATGGTGAATTAGAGGCCAGTCTGAACAACAAACAAGACTGTCTCGAAAAAAACCAAAACAAAACAACAACAAAAAACTTCTAGGGAGAAGCTGCCTCAAGGGTGGGATGAGGATTGAGTGGGAGGAGGGTTCTTGTCCTGAGAGTACTGGTGAAGAGGTGCCCTGGACAGAGACGGCTCCTTTCTGCAGCTCACTGCCCGGTGTTCTGCTCCTCTGGGGCAGTCAGTGTGAGCACTGGGATCAGCCCGGGTCAGGTAATTCTGTCTCTGCTCTTCCAAGGAGCTGTGTTACCTCAGGCACATCACCCAACCTCCCTGGGTCCACTCCCTCATCTTCAAACAGGACGGTGCCCACCTCACAGGAAGTCTGGCAACACCCAGCACACGCAAGGCATCAGCACGTGATGGCTTGTCCCCTCCTTTTTTCTACCTTTGTTCCCAACTAGAACCCAAGAGCAGCAGAGTGAGCTTCTGTGGCCCAAAGACTTGGCCTTCCAAAGCCCAGCTGCTCAGTCCTTTCTCCATGCGCCTAGGACCTGTAACAGTGGCCAATGATAGGACTCCCCTCCCAGGGCCTCCCCTGTTCTGGGGCAGGCTGTGCAGTGGGGGCCTCACCTGACTCACTCACTTGGGCCATGGCTGGGGTCCGGCCACAGCAAAGGAGGAGCTGCCCGCCTCCAAAGTGGCTGGAGTTCCATGGGAAGCCAGTGTCCCGGAGGAACAAGAGCTTCTTTCTCACGTCTGGGGTCATCGGTCAAGGCCTTGGGAAGATCCGCGGGCTACAGTGTGCCCGTAGCTGCCACTGCCCAAGATTCTGAGAGCCTTTCAGAAAGGCAGCACGTGTACCTTACCTGAGTCTTGTCACATCCAAGGACCTCCTGAACTATTGTAACATTAGTAGTACAGGTTGTACAGCCCCTGCCCGAAGTGCTTGCACCAGAAGTGTTTCAGAGTTGGGATGTGGGAACATTTGCATCCACATCATGAGATCTTGGGAATAGAAAACCCAGAATTCATTGAAGTTTCATATATACCTTGTACACATTGCCTGAAGGCAGTTTTCCACAATATTTTAGTGTACCTGCACTGTGACTGTGATCTGTCCCATGAGGCCAGGTATGGAATTTTCCACTGATGGCATCAGGTCAACACATGAAATGTGTGGATTTTGGAGCATTATGGATTTTCAGATTAGGGGTGCTCAGCCTACATGTTAAATCAATGCATTTAAAAAAAAATTCAACCTTAAAGGGAACATGTATGTCACCATCATGAATAAAATACAACATTGCTCATCATAAACAGAAGGCGATGCTGAAGGCACGATGAAGATGAAACTGCAGAGTGTAGCCTGACACCCCTGAGCCTAGCGCCTGTCACAAGGCAACCGTGGCAAGTACTCCGGCAGGCCAGGGCATCGCAGGCCGGCTCCCTCTCCCACCTCCCACTGGAGGCGCTGGCAGAGCACAGCCGGGGGCATCAGCACTGCCACCTCAGAGCCGGCCATCGAGGGTGAGGCGCCGACCCTC